GGCTGAGCCTAATGATTGTTTTATTATAAAAACTGGTACAAACATGTTTCAGCCGTAACTGCCATCTTCGGTGTAACAATGCTTATAAGCTCTTAGAAGTATTTATAGGAGTGGACAAACGCAATGACATTTCATGGTAAATAGGCGAACTTAACGTGTTTTAAAATGGCGACTAGTTTCGCCGATATAAGAAGCGTTACAGCTTCCGCAAGTAAGTTTGTATATTACGCCCGAACGAACATCAACGGGAAGAGGATCCTTAACTGAACACAGACATTGTATTTAAATGATGTAAAAATGAACTTAATATCTAAATCAGTACAAAATTCTTTAGTTAACGAAGAAAATTTGAACTGACATTCTTACTAAATGGTCCAATATGGTAACTTAAAATAGCAAATTGTGTTTGGATTCATTAAATGATGTATTCCGTTTAATGGAAAATACAGAAACAAGATATTTTGAAATAATGTTAATTAGGTTAGAAAGACACATATTTTTTCTTAAAATGACAACCAAAGATCTAATGTCGATAGGAAACCCAAGCCAGCTGATGTTGATTTTGTATGTTCTGTCAACCAACGTGCGGACAAGGGCCATCTTATAGGAATTCGGAAAAAAAAATGTGAAAATTAATGAAAAAATACTAAGTTAATGTTTACAACATTTGATTCAAAGTCTGTTTTAGGGAATGACCTAATGTAGAGAATTGAGGACAGTAAATTGAGGACTGTAAAATATAGAATTGACTTGGAGAATGAAGTGAAACGTTATGTAAAATATAAATGCGATTCAAACTAAACAATGCCGAATACACGAATACAAAGATACAACTAGAAACCAAGACAGAATCTTCAAAGGTCCTAAAAAAAATAAAGATGTTAGAAGAAATGTTGGCCATTTTTAGAGTATGGTATGTGGTATGCCACAAAAAGTACAGAAACAGATAAAACTTATTGGATGTCAGATTTATGGGAAGTATTCAGGAAGTCCTGCCATATATGAGATATTCAAGACTGAATCTATAGCAAACGAAACAGAGGTCTCCATCCAACTAACGACCACTTTTGGAACCGGAATTTCCATGGTCTTTCGCAGCTCTAGTCTCTAATTAGAAAAATAAAGATAAAAGACATTTGTGCATTTGTGAATTTAGGACCACAGAGAAGTGGTCTTTAATTGGATGGGTCTTTAATTAGAGGGATACCGTTACTTATTATCATTTACGATAGTTACTTCCGCCTAAATGCTAAAGCCGATAATGATGTCAGTTACTGAAGACGAATAGAGTAAGAGGTACTAAAATAGTCCTATACATATACGACACCGTTCTGAAGAAAATCCAGTCTTAGAATGATCCGAATTTACAATAGTTGTTAATTAAGTTGAGAATATAAAGTAAAGCCAGCCAAGCACTGCGCCCGACGTTAGTCGGCCTACGAGGTTCTATTGAGAACCACGACGCACACGCAACGGATCGTTCCTATCGACGATCCGTTCAAACGGCCACCGACAATCAGCAGCGGCGTCGCGTCGTCTAAAGCCGGTTTTCCACTAGGCGAATCGAAATCGTTGTTCATGCGCATTCTATAAGAGTTTTCGCTACAACAAAATCGGTAGTGGTTCGAACTGTTTCTACTTTTTGCGAAGCGAAAAAATGCGTAATCAATCAGAGTTCAGGAAGCGAACCGACGCTTTCGATTTGCGCGAATAAATTCGCCTAGTGGAAAACAGACTCAACACTCAATGGGAGCGAGGTGAGGTTCATCGGCCGGCGGTCGTACGATACAGTAAATTCCATTGCTTATCAAGTCATAACTTAATTTCTATATTGCAGAATACTGATGATTGCAACATTTTGTTCTACTGAGAGTGTAGTGTCTTACTGGAATTGCACAGCACCAACGCCGGCTGTGGGTGGTATCCAGGTAAAGGTTGCCGTCAACGGTTTTAATGAAGAGGTTGAATGAGTAATGCCATCAGCCATATTTGTGCATGTCATCTGCCTTGTATCTGGTACAGTCGTTGTCCATGTGCCAACAGGAGTGGTAGACCCTACTGGACGGGCTTGCACAAGTAACCCTCTATACTTTTGGCTTCCGGTTGCTTGAACAGTAACTGTTGAAAAGCATTTCAAGATTTAAAGATTATAATTTCAATTGCAGAATTTAGTGCCGAGTCTAGTACCAATAGTGATAACCAGTAGGTATACAGATAAGTGTAAGATAACTGAGTGTATCCCATCAAACAAAAAATTATACTTATAACTTTTTTTGCAAATTAATTTTCCTTTGTTACCGTATCTAACCTTATACAATGATACATTCAAATCAATATCGATGTTGTAAATTGCCTTTTCCATAGGAAGTGACTACTGGAATGATTAAAGATATTAAAGCAAAATATAAAATACAAAATTAATGAAAAACTACCTTTAATTTGCAGGCTATAAAAACAATTGATATTAGTTCATAACAAAAAACAAAAAACAAAAAAAAAAACATCATTGCCTGTTATTATGAGTGACTACCAAAACAAAAAAAAAACAAAATTAATCAAAGGAAATTGTTACTTGTAAAAAGAAATTTAAATTTTTTTTTCTTGTTTTTGTCTTAAAAACGAGTTTTAAAAAAATACAATTTAAGTTTATTTAGCAACAAAAAAAAATCACTATTAGTATTTTTGATCTGTTCTGCTCTTTTGCGCTTTGGAGGAGGCAATCAAAGATCTTACAATAACAGAGGGCGTTCTCCACGATTTTTGCGTGCAATTCTGCAAAACGCAGTGTAGCACGCCCTTCCGCAATTACAATTACTTTCAAACTTTGATATCCATGCTCTACGTGCAAATTCTGGAACAACCGCCAGGGTAACAGCTAGGACCCCCTCTCAATTACTTTTTATTTGCTTTTTATGCTTCTTTTTACTGAATATCGACGCTTCTATTTGTTACGCGTAGAACCGAGGAAAGAAATATTTGGAGGTATATGGTATTACTTTAATTTGGGAAAAGTTAAAATTTTTTAGAGAATGGTTTTTTCTTGTTATTTTTGTCATGTGTCATAAGAATCATGTTTTAATTTCACTGTTTTTAAAATGTACTCTTTGGAAATTATGTAATAAAAAAGGCAACTGGGTGTAAAACACTTGCAATTATGATTTATTGAATTTGCTAAAAAAAATTATGTAATGAATCAGGCATGCGTGATAGGTTTTAGGTATGAACATTAGAATTAAGTGAATTATGAAGGATCTGTTCACTAATATATTATATGTCAAGCCTATATGGATTTCATTTCTGAAATGAAGAAAGAAGCGAACTAGCGAGCGAGCAAATGAACAAATGAATGTGTTTTGTGTCTCCTACCTTTACCTTTAGTCTTAAAAAAAAACCCAAGCCCATATACCCATATAAAAAGACAAATTAATGTTTTTGCGGCACCAGCACAGAGCTTAAATTTGGTCAGATTCGCATCATGTGCTTAAAGTCAGGTGCACACGCCTGTAAGGCGACTCAACGCCGTCTGCTGATTGTTGGTGGTGGCATCATCATCATTGCAACTTGGTGGCAATAGCGGATCGTCATTTAAAAACGATACGTTGGGCCTGCGCGCCGTCAACGGTTACTTCCTCTATGGAATCGTGTCGGCCGACGACCGATGCAGTGATGTGTGTATCCGCCTTAAATGTATACGTGAATTGATTTCATCACTTAATCTCCATTCTATTTATTTTACATGGACCTATCCCTCTTTTAAAGGTGTAATTCTCTGCCTGGTACGCCTTTGTTGTCAGAGTATCTTTTGTACTGGACTGATTTTATCAAATAGGCAATAGGTCTGTTTGTATACAATTCATGCGTGTCTTAAAGTACTGTAACCTCGCCTTAATTCGGTAAATATAGATGAAGGCGTGGCTAAAAAAGTTCGTTTAATCTTGGTTCTAATAAGCCGGTTTTGATATATATTTAATATATGGTTTATCTGTGAACAGTGAACCTCTAAAATCGGTGTTATTCACAATTAAAACCAGAAAATGGTAATACAGTATAAGCTTAGTCGTATTTAATTATTTTGTTTCGATTAAATTTTACCACATTCAAATTTATTTCTGTTTCTCATGATGGTTTAATTCAACATAAATATCTTTTAAACAGACTGATTAAAAAAAAGAATAATACCAATTATAAATTATCTGAAAATATCACATTGTGTCTACGCTTCTAAATAAGTCAAACTGCTCAGTCCGCGTATTGAGTAGGCTACTCGATATTGAATCCATGATTCAGTATTTGATTTAAATAACGATTGTATAATTACTGATTGATTGATTGATTTATCTATGTATAAAATGTGTTAGTTAACCGTGTTTAAGTTCTCTGTCTTTCTATCATTCTCTAAAATATATACATTCAGACTTCTCACTAAACTCGCTTTCATTGCATGAAATTTCGCTTGCACTAAGGACTCGCTCTTTGGACATCATTGCACGCAATCTCACTTGCAAGACTGATGTCTACAGTATGTTGACTACTTACCAGATAGAGGTTGTCCAGGAGAGTAGGTAAACATTGATGGTGCAACTATCCATGGACTTGTCGATGTTTGTGAAGCCAATCCATGCCCCGGAGTTAAAGTTGTACACGCAGCTGGGTTAGCACCAGATGAATTACCAGATACCATATGTATGATGGCGATAAACCACAGAGCTGACTTGAGCATCTTTCCACCTACATGCATCCTTACTGATTACAATGAGCGCTAGTCAATTAGTCGTTGATATCTCTTGAAAGGATCAAGTGGATCTGTAAATACGGGTCCTTTTGTAATTGGTCACACCATGGTCACACACGCTGAATAATCTCTTCTTAACATATGAATGAGCTCATTCCAAGGAGGGTTAGACATATATGGCCTATTTGACAAACCTGCTAAAAAGGTTGCAAATTTTAATATTTTATAAAAAAATTACAAAATAATATTATGTAACAAAAAACAGCGTTTGATAGAAAAAGCGTTTAAAATTTTTGAATAATATTGATAAGAAATTCCTACATACAACTTAAAATGGTAAAATGGAATATTCCAGCATAATATATGACCGCAAGGCAGCCGTAAATTTTGATGTCACCATGGTGACATTGTTCATACTACAATCAATAAATATTTACGAATTTATAAAAATGTTTGTGAGTTTTTTTTGTGTTAAAAATGTGTGATATAGGCCTATATTTAATATATAATCTATATTATGCTTATTTCAAAGCCTAAAAACAGCGATGTAACACATTGCGTCAGATAACGTCGGGCATTCGAAACTTACCGGTCTGAAAATCTGTAACAGTAGATCATCAGAGTCTCGAGCTCACGAAGTGAATATAATTCCATATTACAGCTTAATTGAGGGGAAAATAACGTCGTTTTTAAATTGTTCTATAATTTCTAAATTGTCTAAGTTCTCCTTAAGGTAGGTTTTGTAACATAATAATAATAACAGTAAATATAAAGGACGTACCTGTGTATTCACAGTATTCTTACGTAGCTAATACTGATACTGCATTTAAAAAGAAAATCACATTGCTAATCCTGGTATTTAAAAAGAAAATACCCTTTTCTAACTTTTTGGATATGTGGTCTAGAGAATCCAAGCGTTTCTAATTCGTTAGTAGGGTGACGTTTACTCAACAATACGAAGCCACTATAATATGAGTGTTAATCATATGCTAGAAGCCATAAGATATTATTATTGACGATCAATGTTTCCCCTATTTATCGCCTTCAAACATTGTTTTTAGTGGTCTTAGTCATAATGCTGCTTGTATTTTCACTAATTTACTAATACAGTAGACTAATCAACATTGTCATCAAACATCAGATATAAAGTTGCATCAGGATGAGGATGAAGGCATAGAACAACTGCTTCGGCAAGTGCGGACTGGCATTAAAAGTTTGACAATATTGTATCTATCAATTCTATACCATGTATATAGCTTGGGCATACATACAAGTGGTAACCGGCTTAAAATATTTACTTTATCTTTTTCGATCAACACCTCACTTGACCAGTAATATTCAGGATGAGAGATACAACATTTAAAGTATTCGTTTTATGATGCAATAATGTACCTGTGGTTCAAGTTTGACTAACTGCTAACACCAAGGATCATATAAAAGACAATTAATAAGTTAACCTTGGACATGAATGAAAACTGCTGGGTTATACAGAGATAGGTAGCATATACATAAACATATTAACACCATGATGATCATGATGATGATGCTGCTGCTGATGATGATAATGATGAGGAGGAGGAGCAAGATAGTACTAATATTGATGACGGCGAGGACTGTGATGACGATGGTGTCATGATGATGTTGATGATGATGATGATGATGATGATAACAGAGGTATCAATACTGTACTGTATGTGGAAAAATCAAGAGAAGGGTTAAATCCAAGAGATTAGAGTTGATCAACCATTGAAAGTCACTATTGGAGCATTGTGAGAATAACATTATTATACATGGGTGAGTTAGTCCAGCAGTTTACCTATTGAAAGAAAATATATAAAAGGGGTTTTTTTTTAATAACCAACTTCACAGGCTGTCTCTTATACACATCTAGATGTGTATAAGAGACAGGGGCACCCTAACAACATCCTTGGTTCGGACCCCTCCGTCGGGAACTTCGGACCCCTTGTCGCCAAATCTGGCACCACCGCTGTGAAGCCGATCGGGACATTGATAAAAGAAGTTTCTGCCAGAAGTTGATCAGCCCTAAGAACTCACGTAACCTCCGTACAGTACCGGTATCAGGCAGAGGAAATGGCTTCGATCTTTGGACGGACCAAGAGTTGAATGCCAAATTCGTTGATTTGTTGACAGCAGTGATCTCCCCATTCACACAGCTGGATTAATCACATTACCAAACTAGTCAAGACGTTCAAAGAGTATTCTAATATGGACTTGAAATTCTAATTTCTAACTATGGTCGTGTTCTTCAACATCTTCTATACTATAAGATTATCATTAGCGTAGGCCTAACTTAAACAAAATCTAACCAATCAGCACTTGATCTCATAAACTTAAACATGCTGAAAGTGTAGTTTGCCTTCTTCGGAATCTTCTTCAGATCAACGAGTATTTGGTCTTCTAGAAAATCTTTCGTCTATGTATGAGTATTTGGATTCGGATACTGCTCAGGAATGGTAACATTGTTCAATGCTGGTAATCGCCTAGATGGGGTAGTAATCATCACATACTGCAATCACCGGAGTAGGCCTACTTTTTGGGGATCACAGAGAAGTGATGACTAATGCTGTCAGATGATCGAGTAAATCCGAATGTTCACAAATTTGGATCTGACAATCTTGCAAGTCGTCGTGGTCTGCCACGCTTAAACTTCTCCTGAGCAAGTCGTCAAAAACAAAATCGACTCTTCCAAAGTGGATATTCGCCCGAATTTGTACATGTAACGAATACAATTGACTATTGGAAGTTCTATTCAAAGTTTAATGGGTATTGCAATGATGATATTAACAATACTCTGCTGTTGTGTCAGTGGTTGAAACTGGTTTCCATACGAGGTAAACCTGGTGGCAGCTCCAAACAAGCTTCAGCCACACATGGCATCGCACATAGCTTCGTCCATGCAAGCCGGCAGGCACCGTACTATGGGTGTAACCACTGTGAACTTCAGTTTACTCTTAACATCGGTTGCAGTGGCGGATCTAGGGGGGGGGGGGGGGGGGGGGGTGAATAGGGTGGCTAGCCACCCCACTTCGTTTACCATGAAAAATAAAATAATGGTCACTCGTCTTGTTTGTGTGCTTCTCGTGTACTCTGGTAAAACATACTTTCTATTTTAAGCTTACTTCTTTTCAGATGCTATATAAGATCGTCTAGCAGTCTACTATTAAATTGAAAGGTATATTTGATAGTATATTTTTAACATGAACTACGATTAACGCACGCATTACAAAAGCAAGCAAACTGACGCACATGCCACACTTCGCACTTTCGTTTACTAAACTTGATTTCGTTTGTCCTCATTCGAATTAAGTAAAGTTTTCACGATCTGGAGAATTTATGCGATCCATCAACATTTTTCTGCGACTCAAACATTTCAAGCAGCAGAAATCTATAGATAAGGTGTTTCCCAGCCTTATGTACAAGAAAGCAAAGTTAAATAAATACTGTAAATCTAAGTATTTCAAAAATTAATACGATGTTTCTATTTTAAATTTTGTTGTCACTTTTTAACAATTGTCTTAAAATGACTGCTTTCTGTGCAACACAAACGTTTTTCTTTGCCTTTAATTTAAATCCTGGAATGCTAATACTATAGATAAGGCCAAGAGAAAAATCAACAAATAATACACTCGTGCCACAAACTTAGCAGGAGACTTTTGTTAGACGGTTGTCAATTTCCATTTATGTACTATTGAATGGTAATATAACAAATGTTATAAAAGAGTAACGAGACGTAACTATTGGGGCAAGGAAGAAAATATCAATCATTTGTTATGTTTAAAGCCGTTAATATATCTTACTCCCACAGTATATCAATAAGTCTGTTCAAACCAACCCCAACCCTAGTGTTTAAAAACCATGAAACCATGACGCGTACTGTCTGTATTGTGGAATACTTTAGATTCGCAAACCTATTGTAGTTGGTGGTAGTGTTGACTTGACATTTATGAATTAGCCCGATTTCCATTCGAATCGGGAGCCTTCTCGGTTCCGTCGAGAACAGCCTAAACAGTGCACCGATTGCAGAGGAAACACTGTAGCGACTTTATGGAGGCCAGAACAGCCTTTGTTTGTTTGGTTTTTTTCTCGATCAATGAATACAGTATATCATATCGTATCGTATCCATCTGTGTGGGTCAACTGATCAACGAAAATCATACTTATTTCATGCAAGTTGTACGCTATATTTGCCTATATTTAGATCATTAATTGGTAGGATTTTCACAAAAAGTATACCATTTTTTACTTGCTAATTATAAATGTGTTAATTTTCAACTGTTGAGATAATGTACTGTATAAATATACGTTCACAACAAGTCCATTTTCCAGTTTGGAAACCGGGCTTGGTGTGATTGTGTGTGAATCACAAAAATTGACAGACATGAGCCGGACAATAATAATGACTCGAGGCTCATATCTTAACTTTGCTTATTTTAATCAGAATCAGTGAGTTGGTACTGTCAGGCTATACATACTATTACACGGCAAATTTTTAGATCACATATTAAACGCAATCAACATACAGAAATAATTTTTACAATATTGAGTTTCAAGTCATAAAATATAGTGTGGCTTAAAATATTTACTTTATCTTTTTCGATCAACACCTCACTTGACCAGTAATATTCAGGATGAGAGATACAACATTTAAAGTATTCGTTTTATGATGCAATAATGTACCTGTGGTTCAAGTTTGACTAACTGCTAACACCAAGGATCATATAAAAGACAATTAATAAGTTAACCTTGGACATGAATGAAAACTGCTGGGTTATACAGAGATAGGTAGCATATACATAAACATATTAACACCATGATGATCATGATGATGATGCTGCTGCTGATGATGATAATGATGAGGAGGAGGAGCAAGATAGTACTAATATTGATGACGGCGAGGACTGTGATGACGATGGTGTCATGATGATGTTGATGATGATGATGATGATGATGATAACAGAGGTATCAATACTGTACTGTATGTGGAAAAATCAAGAGAAGGGTTAAATCCAAGAGATTAGAGTTGATCAACCATTGAAAGTCACTATTGGAGCATTGTGAGAATAACATTATTATACATGGGTGAGTTAGTCCAGCAGTTTACCTATTGAAAGAAAATATATAAAAGGGGTTTTTTTTTAATAACCAACTTCACAGGTCTGATAAGCAGCAATGTGTGAGGGCGCTGTTCATTTTAGTTCAACAAGCAATCCTTAATAATAGACCTTTCCGGAGTGTCAATCAAATTTAACAACTGACCAATCAGAACAGCGCTAAGAATACGCGAGCATCTCACAAACACACGTGTTGTCCCACAAACGTACATGTTCGCGTATGCTTTACATTAGTGGGATCTTAGCAACAATAACGAATGGACATGGCTTAGCGGAAAGGTCCATTATGCAAACCAAACAATTCTACATATAAAATATCGTATGTGTGACCAGTAACTTAAGAATGAAACTATAATTAAGTAATTTTGCTATTGCAATGCTTATCCCAATTATAGAATAGTAATCACTACATTATACTGTAATTGTCATTAGTTTATTGGAGATAATTACTGTATACATATTAACATTTTTATTCAATGCAAAAACATTCAAATTTGAATAAGTTTCTTAGAGTTAGAGAAATACAACGATCCGTTGCGCACGCGTTCTTCATACAATCGTGTCGGCCGACGACCTTCGTGCGCAGTAAGTGTCCAGCTTACAGGATCAAATAAGTTATAAAAGCCTAATTTCATAAATCACAGGGTGTGCATGCAGACATCAGTTGGCTTTAAAGACGTAGTTTTCAAAGCTCTCAGCATTGCCTTCGAAATGCACATGGCTAGTGACATCGTCGAATTTAAGAAATGCAGGTTAGCAGTTTATGACCAGGCCTTGTTACTATAGGAACACATCCCGACTTGAGATGTGTAATTAAGTGTGGAAAAAAGGACGTGTTTCCATCAGGATTCGAACCCAAAACTTTTTTTCAACTTTGTTGTTTTAACAACTGATCCATTTTACTCATAAACATGTTTTATATTTGTTTTTTTATGAATTATGTTCTTATATGAGATTTGCCATCCCAAAATCATCAAATAATAAAAATTATAACTAGATTTGAACTCGTCACTGAGGACGAGTTTGGTGGTGATGTTGTTTTAACAACTGATCCATTTTACTCATAAACATGTTTTTTTTTTTTTTTTTTATGAATTATGTTCTTATATGAGGTTTGCCATCCCAAAATCATCAAATAATGGAAATTATAACTAGATTTGAACTCGTCACTGAGGACGAGTTTGGTGGTGATCCGCGGAACTTTGACCCTCAGGAAGCGGTGTGGATTTAAAAGATTTTTATGCTAAAATATGCACTAATTAGGCTTCGTTCAGACAGAGATAAGCCGGGCTTGAGTTAAGCCTACCGGGATTAGCCAGACACGAGTATTGCATATTAATGACCGTTACTAGGAAACATTTTTCGAAACAATGCGCTCGAAACGTACGTACACTCGCTCACAGCACATATAATTGAATGCTGATTGGTCATATATTTACCTGAAGCACCCACCCCCCCATTCACTGCGATTAAAGCCCGGCTTAGAAAAACACGGTAGCGCGCATAATTATAAGCATATGTAATTGATGACGCACGCGTACGCCCACGTTAAGACGCGCAAATGGAAAATTAAGATACCTGACATTTAACCTTGACCTGAAGTTTAAGCCCATTTAGTATGATTCAGAAATGACGAATGGTTAAGATGATATGACGTCATTAAATTTTTGCTGAAAGAAAGATGACGTCATCAAAATGTAAAATGAAGTCACATATATGAAAGAGAATTGTCCCAGCTATAACATACTCAAAGTTGGAAGACGATCGACCAAGGATAAGCGAGATACTCTCAAATGCGTATTTTCGAAAATGACGTCATCGATAAAATTAAGTTTGATTGAATTCAGATGGCAATATGATGACGTCACAATGTCCGATCAGCCATTATGATCTATAAATCATATCTACAACTCGCGTGCTTTCAGAATATGTAATAAAAATTGGGGGTCACCTTTCATCATAAGGAGCTATAACTGATTAAAAATAGTCCTGATTTCAGCATATTTTCATTGTATATTGGGCACAAACGCGCACAAAGATCCCTATGATTGATGCGCACCTACGGCATTGCTATTGGCCATAAGATGACCGAAAGGAATGGAAATTTGTAAAAACAATGTCAAGAACCCAAAATATGTAAAAAAACGTAATTTCTATCTACCGTACGTGCTGCGCACATAAAAATGTGCGCGCGTAGTGGAAAATGTCAAAAAATATTGAAATGCTCAAAATGGTCGTTAATAATATAGATAATATTATTAATAATAGTAATAACAATAATATTACATAAGTCTTTATAAATTATAAATAACATTATTTATAAATAAGACCATTAATAATATAGATATTATTATTAATAATAGTAATAACAATATTATTACATAATTCTTTATAAAGTACAGTGAGTTCTGTATATTTTTCGTTTCATATTTTTTTAATACTATTATTATTATATATAAATTATACTAAATATTATTAAAAGAAATTTCGCATGATATGTAATTAATAATCTTTATAATCTGACAATTCAGAATAATTGACACAAAATATAGCCAATAAAAAACATGTTAGATTTTAGTAGGCCTATTACCGTATCTATTTAAGACACAAAGTCAAAATAATTTAGGAAGTGGAAATTAGTACGAGTCATCACTGAATTTTTGGAACGATTCGATAGAAGAATTCAATGGCATTAATAATAACACAATATTTTAAATTCTTCAATAAATTATACCAAATAGTTATAATTTATAAGCCTCTGATTTATGCTCAAAGTTGGTCGATAGTTGTGCTTTTCAATTTGTCGAAATACATTCATCTGAAACAGAAGGAAATAGAGCAGGAATTGGATAGAATCTATCAGCTTCAAATTATGTAAATAGCGCCTATATTTTGATTATTGTTTGTTTGCTTGACTAATATTCAAGACTATATTATTCCTCCTCAATGCGGATAGCAAACAACAAGGAAAGCTCTTCCCTTACAATGTTGTCTGTCACACTTAACTACAGTAGAACCCCTCATTTCACACGGGTGTGTGTTTTGTTCATGAAATAGGAACTTTATTTATGACAACAATTACATGATTTTACGTTCGTAAAATCGGGAATTCGTAAAATCGGGGTTCGTAAATGAGGGGTTCTACTGTATTAGAAAAATACATAATCAAAACTTAAATAAGATATATCATCAGTACATGAAAATAAATTCTACATAACATTTGTAATAGTCTAACAATTGAAAGGATTTGCCTATGATGTTGGGAGAGGATTCCATAGTGAAGTAATATTGTGGAGAAAAAAAAAAGAAATATGTAATGCATTGCAATGGGCTGGGCGCATGTATATTTATGGTTTGACTTGCGTAAGTTGAATGTGAGAAATTTGCATATTGGGAAGTCAATTAAGTTGTTTTGAAAAGAAAGAAGGCAGTGAACGATTCTGCTGTGTTCAAATGACACTAAATTAAGTTTTTCTGAATGAATTCAATTTGTTTAGTACTTTACCTGTGTCTGTGAGATTTTAATTGGATTCTCAAACACAATCCAAATTACGGATTCGTAGCAAGGAGGTGTGGTGAGGGAACCGCTGTAAGTCCAGTAGTTACCAAGTGGCATCGGTAGAAGATTGTAGAGATTGAACGGGGTCTGCAGGTCTTTCGTTTGGCCTATATATTATGTATAGAATATAAACAACTAGATAATATACACAAGTATACAATTAATAGCTGGTAGTAATATTGTGACAATAACAATTTGCTTTCTTCCAAAGTAAACACTTTTTGTTGAAATACTGTTTTTGAAATCGATACACTTTAACCAAGATAAGCAATTTTATTTTATTTTTATTTATTTTTTTTACAAAAATGGTTTAAAATGATTTAAAATATATATTAGGTGCTGAAGAAGTATTATAGTATATTGTGATGAGAATATCGTTTGTGTTTTTTGAAACACTTATCTTTAGTAAGTTTTTCAATGGAACTCTGCAAACACTCATATTGCGTTTTCGCATTTGTCCGAAAAAAAAAATGTACAGTATTTTATCAATGTATACTCATACTAAAAAGTCTCTAAAATGTTTAATAAAACATTTACTTGCGAATTTAATTACCATTATCAACTTTTATCAACAATTGATTATAGTCTTTTAATATATTTTATTATATAACTTACCCTTTCCTAAGCCAGAGATTGCATCGACTATGGGTTGCATGACAGCATTATCGCCTCCACCAATTTCAATGAAGAAGGCAAAGACAGCTAAACCCATACTGCTATTTGCTGCCTCGGAGACGTTATTGAATCGCATTGAGTCGTAGTGTACTATGTGCATCTGATCACAAATATCAAAGTTGAGAAATGTGAGGTTCATGCCAGGCATTTACTATCCCCTTCTTGACCAACCCCTTCCCCTCCTAACACCTCAAAAAATAGTAGGACTGTTTGGATGGAGAGTCTAGACCACCTCACCGAGTCAGCTCCACCATGGATAGTGGCACTATCAGGCTTATTATTAGTTTTTTCCCTTTTTTATAATTTCCAAAAAAATTGAAGTTTGGGAGGGGGGTGGTGTAGCGGGCTGGTCGGATGGGCCTATCTGGAATTCGTCTTCATTGTGGCTAGCAATACATTATATTGATATTATTACAAATAGTTATATAGGCTTATAATTATATTTACAAATCGTGTTGTGTTACTTGCGTGTTTTTGTGTTTTCCTTTCTAAATTCTGTCTCAAATGATAATCAACCTCTGACCTGAATCGCAATTACCTCTGCTGAGTAGGCTTGTCCATTCACTTTATGCTCGGAGCCTACACCGTTTGTATCCCCCCAGTGAAAATGAAACTGTTCGGCTAAGAAGACAGTAGAACCCAACGGTCCCCCTGTAGAACTGTACTGTCCGTCAAGTGGTGCTTGTACTGTAAACAATAATCATGGAAAAAACTCAATTACTTGATTGCTACCTTGGTAAATGGGAAACTACGCAAAATAGTTTGAGTCAATATTATCCATATTCTACTGTTTCTGTATTATATCATAGAATAGGCCTAGTATAAGAATATACTATTGATATCAGTATATTAATAATGATTATAGGTACTAGTAGGCAGTGATGCATGGGGAGGGGGCAGGGATGGGCACCCAGTTGCTCACATTGTACCTCCCCCCATGCAAATAATGTTATTTTGATTACCACTAATTAATATTGTGGTCCAAAATCACAATTCAGGCAAGTCATAAAAATTCTCCCGGTTAACTAGGGATTTTCATACCGAGACATTGACTAAGGCTCTAGTCGACCCATTAGCTAGGACCCCTCTTCCCTCATACCTCCTGTCCGACATTTTGGACCCCTGTTGTAAAATTTCCGAATCCACCACTGGTTAGGTCATATCCTATAACATGTATCAGTATATCAATGAAGAGGTATGAAGTCCTATAGACATCGATATCGGTTTATTAATAAGCAGTAGCACAACAAATTTCCTTTTGGACCAATAAAGTTTTCAGTATTCAGTATTATCATTCTAATTAGGCCATGGGCTGGAGGTCATCGTGCACCTCCTCCCCCCACCACAGTTAAACTTCTTTGGTATCATTTTGATCCTACAGACATATAGAACAAAAAAATTGTTGTTAACAATAAAAATATAGGGATGCATTGTATGTACTCGCATCATCTGTAATGGTCGTTTTATGGTCAATACTTTTTTGAGGGGGAGGGGTAACATTTATGCCCATAACCTGTGAATTAAAAATCCAATAAATATTATTTTGGTAGCAATGTGTAGCATATATGTTTCTTAATTATATGTAGTTTAAATAAAATTAATCCGACAATTATTAACGTCACTAGAGGTCAAAAGGTCATCGACCTTTTTCTAAAATGCAAATTTTTGCATAAAATATCAATAAACTTCAGTGTCATATGTCTAATTTTAGATGTATTTGATACAAATTGTGTTTTTCTTGTATTTATTGACATATGGAATAAAAAAATTGAGGTTAACAAGAAAAAAATTAAAATGCATTATGTACTACTGTCATTGTTTATGATCCAAGAAATTTGTAATCAACAACAGTTTTTGGGGTAGGGGTAACACATACACTCATAACTCTTGATTTAGTCAATGGATTTGCATGATGTTGGTATCACCATTTAGCCTATAGATTGGTCAGTCATTCAAATTGAAAAAGTTTTGAAAGAGGCAGAAACTGAAGTAACTAGAGGTCAAAAGGTCATTGACCTCCACAGAAAAGTTGTAAATTTATTTTCAATTTACTCACAAACGTTTACAGTTGTGAGTAGATTTGATACCAATTAGTATTTTATATTTTTAATAAGTACAGTATATGGAATATAAAAAAACGATATTAACAAGAGAAATGTATTGATTAAATGTACTACTGTCATTGTTGATCACTTGTGTAATGATCAATGGCGATGTTTGGGGTAGGGGTTAGCATTTAGGTTCATAACTCATGATTTATTGGATAGATTTGCATGATGTTGGTATTATCATGTATCCTGTAGATTTTCCAGCCATTCAAATTTAAAACGTGTGCAGAAACTGACGTATCTAAAGGTCAAAAGGTCGTTGACCTCTGTAGAAAAAAGGATTCTAGAATCCAGTTAGAATATATAATTACATATTCTAACTGGATTCTAGACCTAGGCCTATGTATATATCGTGTCTGTATTTAACATATTTCAATCTTTGTCAATCTAAATTCGAATGTACAGTATGTCCTGGTCCCCAACCCTTTTAGGTTCACTTGGATAGGCTCATCTTCATAAAAGACTTCTATGAATGGATATCTTGTTTGAAGCAAGAAACCAAGTTGTCTTTATCCAGTACCGCTCGTTTATTTTATTTGTGTGGGAAACTTTTAACATAACTTTATATGTTTATTTATTTTTATTTATTTTATTTTCAATCTTTCGACAAAAACAGAAAAGTTGGACAGGGGTGCCGAGGAAAAGCAAAAGTTAGAAAAACTGTCATCAAAAAATGTGCTTAACCAAACCCCTGCCAACAAAACAATACAAAAATTTAAACATTAAAATGAACGAAAGTGCAAAGCAAATAAATGAACAAATAAAAATAAATAAAACAACATATTAAAATTTTAAAAACATAAAATAAAACTAGGTTTGAACTCGTCACTGAGGACGAGTTTGGTGATCCGCCGTACTTTGACCCTCACGAAGCACGCGCGGTGCTGATTGAAAAGTATTATATGCTAAAACATGCTCTACTTAGTTCTTAAAAAGAGTAATTTTGAGCATTTTAATAACTTACGAATGTGTACACATATATCATATGGAAATGAGCGTGTGGCACGTAAATTATGGAAAGTTTTGGAATACTCAAAATGACCTAAAACGTGCTCTAAATTATCTGAAAAGTGATATTAACAATTTTAAAATTTTAACGCACAAGTACGAATACCTTATACGACGTGCCCGAGGACAGTAATGGCACATGCATTTAAACCTTGTCAAGTTTAATTTAATAAAAAATAAAGGGAAACTTCTGAAAAAGAATTGTCTCAGCCATAACATACTCACAGGTGGAAGACAATCGATCAAGAATAAGCAAGATACGTTCAAATAAGTTGAAAAATAATGACGTCATAAATAAAATTTCAGTTTTTTTTAAATTAGATAGCAATATGACGACGTCACAATGTCTGATCAGCAATAATGATCTATAAAATCATATCTACAATTCATGTGCTTTCAGAATATGTAATAAAAATTAGGGGTTACCTTTCATCCTAAGGAGCTATAACTGATTAAAAGTAGGCATAATTTTAAGTATACATAATTGTTGAGTTGCGCGAACAGAAAATAAAGGTACCTGACATTCAACCTTGACCTGAAGATTATGCTCACTTAATATGATTCAGAAATGACGAAAGGTTAAGATGATATGGGCTCATCAACGTTTTGAGGATGTGGGGATGACGTGATGACGTCATAAAAATGTAAAAAGAAGTCAAATTTATAAAAGAATTGTCTCAGCTATAACATACTCAAAGTTGAAAGACGATCAATCAAGGATAAGCGAGATACGCTCAAATGCGTATTTTCAAAAATGACATCATAGCTATAATTCACTTTCTTTGAATTCAGATGCCAATATGATGACATCACAATGTCCGATCAGCCATTATGATATAAAAAATAATATTTACAACTCATGTGCTTTCAGAACATGTAAAAAAAATTGGGGGTCACCTTTCATCCTAAGGAGCTATAAGTGATTAAAAATAGGCCTGATTTTAGCATAATTTCACAGTATATCGGCACAAATATGCGCACGTACAGCATTGCTATTGGCCATAAGATGACCGAAAAGAATGGAAATTTGCAAAAACAATGTCAGGAACCCAACTATGTGAAAAAACGTAATGTCTAGCTTCCGTACATGCTGTGCGTGTAAAAATTTATGCGCGCGTAGTGGAAAATTTCAAAAAATTTTGAAATGCTTAAAATGGCATGAAACGTGTTCTAATTTAGTCAAAAAGTGATTTCGAGCATTTTCAAATTTTGACGCACGCGTACGCGCGCGTTAGGAAGCGCACGCATAAAATTAGGGTACAGTACATTAAACATGGACCTGAAGTATATGCTCACTTAATACGATTTAGAAATGACAATTGGTTAGGCTGAAATGATCGATAATGTAAAAACGCAAAATTGCGCATAGCTGACGTCACGCGTGAATGGTCACCTTGAAAACCTTACTGTAACTATTCCAGGCGAAGCCAAAATGTTTGATGAAGCGAGCGTGTGATTTGCTCGTAGCAATTTTAAGATAACGTGCGAACAAGAAATGGGGAGAAAGTGAGAATAAAAAAAAGATGATGATGATCACTGACTCGTGAAGCGGATCACCAAAAATTATTTTAAAAATATATATATAAATGTTTATATACAATTTCCATTATATTGTCATAAAGAATATCTATGCCATGGTTTTTGGGAAGAATTTGCATTTTTCTACAGAGGTCAACAACATTTTGACCTTTAGATACGTCAATTTCTGGACACATTTTAAATTTGAATGGGTGGAAAATCTACAGGCTACATGTTAATACCAACATCATGCAAATCTATCCAATAAATCATGAGTTATGTACCTAAATGTTAACCCCTACCACAAACATTGCCATTGATTACACAAGTGCTCAACAATGACAGTAGTACGTTTAATCAAATCATACACTTTTCTTGTTAACATCATTTTTCATATTGCATATGCTTATTAATAATAGAAGATACTAATTGGTATCAATCTACTCACAACTGATTTGTGAGTGAATTGGAAATAAATTTACAACTTTTCTGTGGAGGTCAATGACCTTTTGACCTCTAGTTGCATCAATTTCTGCCTGTTTCAAAATTTTTTCAATTTGAATGACTGACCAATCTATAGGCTAAATGTTGATACCAACATCATACAAATCCATTGACTAAATCAAGAGTTATGATCATAAATGTTACCCCTCCCCCAAATAAAGTACTGACCATAAAACACTAACGACCATTACAAATGACGCGATTACATACAATGCATCCCTATATTTTTCTTGTTAACATCAATTTTTTTGTTCTATATTCCCATAGGAACAAAATGATACCAAGGAAGTTTAACTGTGGGAGGGGAAGGGGGTGCACGGTGACACCCCCACCCCCAGCCCATGGCCTAAATCCTTTAGAATATCCTCACCTGTATGCCCATTATTTGTTATTGACAGTGGACGGTCCAATTTCCAGTTACCTGTGAGCTCAAGTAACTTTTGGGGTGCATTCAGGCGGGTGATGATGTCGATTGGTGATTGTCTATTGCCTTCCGAACATATCGGGTAGCCTATTTCTCCCCAGTAATCAGGCCCTAAGATATTGCAATAGGAATTTATAATAAACATAAAGGGTGGTCATTGTGGACATGTTATCACTAAAGAATGATGGAATTTTTTATGGTATTTTCTGCAGTGTCAACACATTGCATATTGTTATGTGCCAGGAAAGCTCTTACTATTTAATAGATACAGATAAAAGAAAAAAATCTATAAATTCAGGAGAATAAAATAGAACTAGATTTGAACTCGTCACTGAGGACGAGTTAGGTGATCCGCCGTACTTTGACCCTCACAAAGCACGTGCGGTTCTGATTAAAAAGTATTATATGCTAAAACATGCTCTATTTAAAGAGTAATTTTTAGCATTTTAAAAGAAATTTTAAAGGAAAAGAGTAATTTTGAGCATTTTATTGACTTACGAATGTGTACACATACGTCTTAACGTCCGTGGAAAGTTATAGAATATTCAAAATGACCTGAAACGTGCTTTAAATTATCTGAAAAGTGATATTAACAATTTTAAAATTTTAACGCACAAATACAAATACCTTATACGACGTGCTTGACGACGGTAATGGCACATGAATTTAAACATTGTCAAGTTTAATTTAAAACCCCCTGTTGGTTGGCAATGCCACACAAATTTTGCCTTTACAGTATACAAACTATCGGTCTGATAGTGTCGAAATACAGTCTGCCGCCCTCTATTTTCAATGTGTTTACATCTTTTAAGAAAGAAAGATGAGAAGGCTCCAAAAAAAGCATTCTTTTTGACCGTGATGACGACATCAAAATAAAAAATAAAGGGACACGTCCGAAAGAGAATTGATTTAGCTATAACATACTCACAGGTGGGAGACAATCAATCAAGATAAGCGAGTACGTTCAAACGAGTATAAAAAGTAATAACGTCATAAATAAAAATTCAATTTTTTCTCAATTCAAATGGCAATATGATAACGTCACAATGTCCGATCAGCCAATATGATCTATAAAATCGTATCTATAACTCATGTGCTTTCAGAATATGTAATAAAAATTGGGGGTCACCTTTCATCCTATGGAGCTATAAGTGATTAAAAATATTCATGGTTTTATGCATATATAAATGTGGACGCACGCGTACACGCACGTTAATTCGCGCGAACGGAAAATTAAGGTACCTGACATTCAACCTTGACATGAAGATTATGCTTCACTTAATAGTAAATGGATGATAATTTATTAATACAATATTGTAAATCAAAACAGTGAAGTTTACCTGTTGATCCTTCATAACTCCAACTACCATCTATGAAAAAAAAAAAAAACCCGAACAAGAACAATTAATTCATCAGCATCCTCATCATAGCCATTAATTTAATCATTAACATTACCATCAACAACAATAGCATCATCACTATCAGCCATTATCATCATCCTAACCATCAACAGCCATTGTCAGAATCACTAACAACAACACTTTAATAATCTAAAATCATCTACAACCAATACCATTGTCATATTTATCCTCCTTCTCAAAACAGCAACACCATCATCACCGCCATCGTCATCATCAACATCATCAACTCCATGCAATGCTTATTTGTGTTGTTGTATGAGTAGTCTTGCTGCAAACGTCATTGCGTGCCTCACAAGTTATTTTTTATTTGTAATTGTTATTTTAACGCGGTAGATGCAGGGCAGCGGCTGTATGAAGTAGACTAATATGAAGGTACCAAGGTACTTGCTTGTGTTTTCCATAGAGATAAGAATTAATACCTCTATGGTGTTTTCCCAGGCTGAGGCTATCGGCACTGCCGCAGTGCGAAAGAAAGCTGCTGTTTTCTATCGGCACTGCCGCGGTAGCAAAAAGCTGCTGTTTTCTATTGGCACTGCTACAGTGTCAAAAAGCTGCTGTCTTCTCTCGGCACCGCCACAGTGCAAAAAAAGCTGTTATTTTCTGTCGGCATTATTGCCGCAGTGCGAAAAAAGCTCAGATTTTCTATCGGCACTGCCGCAGTGCGAAAACACTGCAGTTTTCTATCAGCACTGCCACTCGAAAAGCTGCTGTTTAATCAAATGAACGTTTTTATCGATAGATTATGGTATCAATAATTGGTTAGGTCTAGCCTAGCCTATGTTATTTTTATCATTATATTATATATGTTTTACAATTAATCATAATTATTTCTAATTATTAAATATATACATATCTAGGCCCACACATAAAACAAAAAATAAAACAAAAATTATAATAATAATAATATAATAATAATAATAATAATAATAATAATAACAGTACTCAAATAATACTATAATAATGAATAATAATACTTTAATTGACCTTTTTACGATAGTTTGAATATGAGATGAATCAGCATATATTAAATCAACTTGCGTTTATGCAAAACCTGTTTTTTTTAAAAAATAAATATATTATCTATTTTATTATGTTTTAAAAAATCTTACAAATTATAAGTTTATTTTCTATGATAATTTTATCCACATATCATGTTTTCAATGTTAGTATGGTTGATAAATCATATATAAAATAATAATATTAATAATAATAATTATTATTATTATTATTATTATTATTATTATTATTATTAATAATATTAATAATAATAATAATAATGAATGTGCTCGAATAATGCTTTAATAAAGAATTAATAATACTTCAATATTAATACTTCAATAGACCTATTTGCATTTAGTGTGATTAATGAGATATTTTCAATCTCCCCTGTCCAATGAAGCGTTCCCAGACAGGATGAAGCTAGCGCACGTTACCCCTACTGTATATTCAAATCTGGCAATAAATCTGATCTTTATAACTATCACCCTATTTCAATTCTATCAATCTTCTCGAAAACCTTGGAAAGTTCTATGACTGTACATTTAAATTTACTTCTAAATATGACATACTCTACAACAGGCAGTTTGGCTTTAGGAAAGGTTACAATACTTCAATGGCATTAATAGATCTGACAAGAAAAATCGTTAATGCACTTGAAAACCGACATCTCTCCATTGGAATTTGTTATCGATCTTTCCATGCTATTGACCACCGCATTCTTTTGTATAAATTATCCCACTATGGAATCTGTGGACCTGCGCACAGCCTTTTCAAAAATTTCTGACCGTGCACAATGTACCAAGTATTCCAACTCAATATCCAATTTCAGACCAATTACACGTTGGATCCCCCAAAGTTCCCTACTTGGACCTCTTCTTTTTATTCTATATATTAACAATCTTTATTTATCATGTAAAATTCTTGATTTTTTCCTTTATGCAGATGATACAACCGTTTCCTTATTCTCACCACAATATTCAAACTCTATTTGATACTATTAATTCTAATCTCATTTCCATGTCACAATATTTCGCTGCAAACAAATTATCCCTGAATCATAGAAAATGTAGCTTCATCCTGTTTGGGACTCCTTCTAAACTAAAAACCATTGACACTTCAGCCTATAAGATCCAAATTGAAATACCCTCTGTTAAATCCACCAAATTCCTTTGTGTTCATATTGACAGTTGTTTGTCATGGAAAACCCTTGTAAACGAACTTGAAATAAAAATCTCCAAGAGCCTTGGCATCATTTATAGGATATCCACATTTTTACCCATCAATATTCTTCGTATTCTCTATTGTTCCCTCATAATTCCTTTTTTGAGCAACTGTAACATTGTTTGGGCCAATACATACTCGTCCACATTACAAAAACTGCAAACTCTTCAAAAAAGGGCTATCAGGATTATATCTGGTTTTCTACCACAGTCTCATTCATCCCATCTATTCTCAAACATAAACCTACTCAAACTCAAATATATCAATTTATTCCAACAAAGCTCATTTATGTATTCTGCATCACATTCTGTTCTTCCATCTCAGTTAAACAATATATTTATTCACAATCACTCTATTCACAATTACAGTACCCGATCTCTTTTCAGGACCAAGTATTCTTTCATTGCATGTTTCATTCTCATTTTTTCTTTTATCACATTGTATATTCTTTTGTTAATGAAGGAAAATAAATGTTAGTTTGAAAGATATTGTTGATGACGTTCGTTTAGAGACATGTTCGATTAGGTGTAGAAAATCATAGTAAACTTTTGTGTAAAGAAGATAGTAACATGAGTCGTCAGCAACATCAAGGAATAAAGATATGAAGTTTCTATCTTGAAGTGATACAAAGTAATCCTGCCACCGAGGCGGTGTGGTAAAGAGAATGAGATAAATATGGGGTCCTGGGTCTAAAATTCGATATGTACTGACTGAGAGTATCACGCCAGTTCGGCATAGTTTCACTGTTGTGAGGTTGCAAAATCTAGTCCCAATCTTATGTCCGGGAACAGTTCTTTTAGTGAGCTTTCGATTGCTTGACGAGTTTATACATAATAAAAGTTTATTTGGAAGTTGTGTTACAACATTATGAACTGTGTTTATATTTTATATGTCAAAGAGGCATTCCTAGTCATTTTTTTACCGTTTGGAAATACGCCAAGTAGGAATTCATGACAGTAGCAGCAAAGAGTATAAAACTGCAAGAGGTCCGACTGCCCTTATTTTGTATACAGGCAATAGAACGTTAAAAAGTACTTCCACGAAGGGGCGTGTCCTTCATAAAAACGTATCGAACGCGTGCTGCGTTTCGAATTCCAGCATACATTCTATAGGCACGCAGCACGCGTTCGATATGAACGCGCTTTGCGTTCTTTTAAAGGCCACGCCCCTTTTGGGTAGTACTTTTTGAAATAGGATTGCGTTCCAAAGAATCGCCGGCAGTCGGACCTCTTGCAGTTTTATACTCTTTAGTAGCAGTCTGACAATTTTTGCCAGTGTATCCCGAAGGACAAGTACATTGATATGTGCTGCCAGAGATAGAACATACTCCTCCATTTCGGCAAGGGCTTGGATTACATGGAGTTGCTATAGAAAAGAAAAACCCCACCCCAATTTTAATTATTTCTTTATTCTTTATGCGTGCAAATTTGTGCACACGTAAGCATTATATGTGCAAACTCTTGCACACGTAATCATGATGTGTTTGAAAGCGTGTAAACGTAATCATTATATGTTCAAATTTGTGCACACTTAATAATTATGCATGCAAACTCGTACACACGATATCATGTGTAAACTCACCTCCAGGGGTTTCACAGTTGTATCCAACATATCCAGCAGCACAGGTACATGCATACCAATTTCCAGATATCTGGCACGTGCCACCATTCAAACAAGCAGCGACAGTTATGCAATAGTTATTGGAGACTAGAACAAAAATCAAATTTTGAGGTGTGTTAGTTTGTTCGGCAAGAAGCCCACATTATCACCAAAATTAAGAATACTATTAGCCTCTGCATGATACCAATACAAGCGTATCTTATTACATTACACCTGTCTGCATCGATCCTTAAAAAGAGTAGACTTATACTTAAGATTATTATTATTACTTGAAAAAAATAAACTCCATACGTGTTTGGCAGTTTGTTCCTATAAATCCAGTTGTGCAACTACAGGCGTATACTGTACCCGGTTGACCACTGGAAGAGCATGTTCCACCGTTCTCACATGGGTTCGCATTACAGGGATCCTCCACTTAAAAAAGAAAATTGCTTAACATTAATTTAATCAGTAAAACGAAACAACACTTTCGAGGCCTTATGTGTATATTTTAGTTTAGCTGCAGTCGAGAGATAAGCGTCTTAATACTATTCCTTTCAATGTGTAAATAGGCAGCAATTGTGATTTAATTTTCATAAATATTTTCTGTACAAATTTAATTTAACAATTGCACTGGTACACTCTTGCCATGGTAAAACTTTCAAAACATCAATGAAAAAGTATTACAGCAACTTTGGACATGTCGCCACTAAACCTTCAAATAGCACGACTGGGTGACTGGCTATCTTTTTTTTTTTCGTTCCCCATGACCACTATACGATTTTTTGATTCTCAATTTTTAACTCATTTTTGTCATGAAGAGTTTTTGCCGTAATACCAGGCCTCTGTGGGTCACTTTGATAATATACTATTTATTATTCATATTCCGAAACTATGATTCCTCTTGTGGATTATCACTAAGTTGTGTTCTTTCAAACATTACAATTAAATAAATCTTTCAGCAGAGCGTTCGATCGCAGCCAAAACGTGATTCAGGACGGATTCCATCGTCCTAAAAATTCTGTTATTTTTTTTTTTTTAAAGTGTATTGTGTTACTACTTTCTCTTACCATTTGCACAGTTGGTACCGGTGTATCCAGGAGAACAGTCGCAAAGGTAATGGTATCCACTCTCAGTACATGTTCCTACTCCACAGGTTGTGGGGGAACACACCACTGTGGAATAATAATAATATTAATATACAGATTATTTTTTCCTAGCTCTTCCTTTCTTAATTGTTTGGTACTGTCACATTAATATTATGTTGACCTATCCAACAATCAGAAACATTTACCGAATATTTCTAATGTCAATACAAAAATTATTCTTACAACTAGTAGTAACTTTCAGAATTTTATAATTACTAATTTTTGATAGCAACAATTACCATTATTAATATATATTATTTTAAATTAGGCTTACTATTTATTATTAATATCATCATCATCATCACAAATTGGGTTTCAGTGTTTTTGATATAAAGTTTAATACTTAATACTTCACAATAAGAAATGTTCTGAGTGGATTTAGCCTTCATGATTTTAAGTACTTCTGATACACGTTTATTAAAGCTTTTACTATTGAGGTCAACCTACAAGAAATTCATTAGATCAATCAATCAATAAATTTATTAGGAATAACACCTTAAGATCGGTAGCACACACAACAATAATAGTGGTGCATCCAAATTAACAATTTTTACAGACAAAGAAGTAAATTAAAAGTAGGCATAAAAAGAAACACAATTAGAAATAATACGTTTAACTTAATGCCAAACAAAACCGAGAAAATTAATTAACGTAATTGATAACAATTCGATTTAAAGACCAAATATAGCTTATATATTGTCACTAAATATATTAATAATTCATTTTTTTTTTGTGCTGTACAACAATACAGAGTCGACGATTCATGATCTACATACCTGCCGAGTATTGACACTGGTCCCCGTATTGGCGACCTGGGCAATTTGAACACTGATATCCTCCTGCTGTCAGTGCTGTACACGTCCCACCATTACATGGATCTGGAGTACACGTCGCATCAACTATTCAAATGCAAAAATTAATATATTTTGAAGTGATACAAAGTAACCCTGCCACCGAGGCGGTTGGTAAAGAGAATGAAATAAATATGGGATCATGGGTCTAAAATTCAATATGTAGGGGGCCTACTGACTGAGAATATCACGCAAGTTTGGTATAGTTTCACTGTTGTGAGGTTGCAAAATCTAGTCCCAATCTTATGTCCGGAAACAGTTCTTTTAGTGAGCTTCCGAATGCTTGACGACGGTTTAGTAATTAAGTTTAGTAGCCTATAGAAGTAAAGCCATATTCGTATGCGAGAACATTGAGTTCTCGTTGTAGTCTCTGGAGGACGCAGTCTGGCCAGAATCTACGTTGTGCCGAGATACAACGCAGAACCGGTCACGGATGAGTGAATCCGTTGTAGTTTTACGTCATCACGCAAAAATCGAAACTCCCTCTTAAATGAAAATCACGTGTTGTGCGCCCTCTCTCTGTTCATCTTAAAGGCCTAAATACTCGTAAGATAATTATTTCACTAGTGTATACCCTATTCCACTAGACAAATGTTTTAAGTGATCGAAGCTTGAGTTGCTTTTTACTCACCAGATTCACAGTTAGTTCCTGAAGTACCCAGACGGCAGTCACACTCGTAATATGTCCCAGATGTTCGACAGGTTCCTCCGTTTTGACAGGGGTTAGTGTTACAGTAAGTGTTACCTGCGGGGTTGATGGCACGGATAATTGTGAAGAATTAAATATTAAAAAGACATTCATATTAAATTGCAGTACGGATTTAAGGAACAGAACTGAGAGCCCATTACGTACTAGTCGGTGGTGTGTATGTTTCGCAGTTGGTTCCAGAGTAATCCTGTGGGCAAGCACATGCGTAGGACGTCGTTCCAATATTCATGCAAGTCTCTCCGTTCTGACAAGGAGTGGCGTCGCAAGGAGTAGTGGTAGACGCTAAAATATAACAAGCAATGAATCAATCTAACGATAAACGACAACCACAACAATTACTTAAATTAAGATACATAACATGTAATGAATATTAATTGCTCTTAATATGTCAAAATTTCTAGAAACTTGCCAATAATTGTGAAATATACATCAAATTTATGCATTATAACATGATGTATGATATCAAAGTAAAGAGTACATTGAAGGGAAGTCACTATACGATGTGTATAAACGATTTATATATTGTTTCTGTCGGTAAATTACATAATAATGAATATAAATTTATTCCAATGATATAAGATAGAATATATTTTTATGATGTTTTGTTTATTTTCATGCTAGTCATTATATATGGTAATTTAACAATATAAACATATCTGATTATTATTTTTATTAAAAAACGTTTATCAACAACATCAATATTTCCAGTTCTGCAGAACAGTACCGTAGTACCGTAAGTCATTCGTTAAGGGGGCAAGTTTTTTAGGAGCGAGTTTGTTAGGGGACGAGTTGATAGGGGGAGAGGTTGTAGGGTTACTGTTTATAGTCATGGGGCGAGTGTCTTAGTGGGGGCGAGAGTTTGAAAGGGCAGGTTTGTGGGTGGCGAGTTTGTTAAGGGGCGAATTTGTAGGGAGCGAGTTTGTCAAGGGACGACTTTGAAGAGGGTGAGATTGCAAGGAAGGAGAAAATTTGCTAGGGGTGAGTTGACTGGGAACCCTGTACATGTGGCGTACTGTACTGGGTAATTTTGATAAGAATACATTACTGTACATATTGCACGCAGGCAATATGTACTGTATGTATTTAGGCTATAGCCTATTCAGTTTTCGGGTTTTTTTTTTTTGTTCTTGCTTTTCTTAGTTTTAGTTAAGATCGTTATTTTTTCCTTCATATTCTTGTCTTGTGTAGGCCTACTCTGTGAGGCCGCACCACAGTTTGTGAGTGCCACTGATACAAAGTTGTAGTGTCATTAAATAAATAAATTGTTTTAATTCATAAAGATATAATAGTACAGTGAGCATCCTCCTCCTATAGCTGCGTTTAAAGTTCCTGTAGGCCTATAGAGAGAGTTGCAACATGAGCCTGCAGAGGTCGTGAAACCAGGGAGGTGTAAACGAAACATAGGGGCAGTACGCGATTTTTTTTCCGTAAGAAACATTTACATGAAACTCTGTTCGGGCCGTCTCGGCTGACACGATCCCACGCGACCCGACCAGAAGAAGAGAGCTATCGGATGATGTCAACTAGGGGGCGTCAACAAATCATTTGATTGGTTCAGAAAGGGGGCGTCAACAAATGCTACGATTCGTCGCGCCAAATCAGGGAACAGTCAAATATAACTTTAGAAGGTGAATTTAAATAATTAATTATTTTGAATATTATGTTATATTACTATACAGAAATTTTATATTTATTAAATATACTATACATTGTTATTAAAATTATACAGATTACATTATTTATTTACTAGGCTAGCTATCAGTCAGGATTGAGGTTTAATGTATCCCTTTCCATTAGGCTTGTGATGCTTGAGCCTAGCTTATCTTATTTAAGGCTTCCCTTTTCCCTGAGGTAAATAATACAGCCTTTCTTGTTTGATTATTTTTTATTATTTTCTTAGTTTGTCTTCTTGAATTGTTGGCAAATATCAAAATGTGGTATATTATTATAAAATGAATAAGGCCTATATTAATATATAATTAAAACATACTTAACTTACTGTATAACATTATAAATCTGGTCTCATTAATTCAATAATTCTTTATACACTCATTTTATTCACCATTATAATATAAAAATATAAGAAATGCATAAATCAATCAATTTATAATATAGCAACTGTAGCCCATAAAAACTAAAGCAGTACAAATATCTATATGAAAGGACATATATATTTTTTCTAAAAAGTAGTAGTATTTAAGTTAAAGTTCAAAAAATAATATGCATATTGATATCTCTTGATTAATTTAGATATAAGCATACCAAGTCATTACAAATGTGTATGGTATACTTTGCATTGTAATTAATTATTTGCTACTTTTGTACCTAAAAACTTTCTTTTTCATAATCAGTACGTTATGTTGTTTTCTTTTAACAGATTTAAGGATTCACTGTCAATGAAGTATCCAACAGCAGTACGATTGAAGTACACACACAACCACAAAGTTATGTGTGCTGATGCACTTAAGCACATGCCATTGTTAGTATTTAAAATTTTAAAAAGTAGTATTTAAAAGGAAATCACTTTCGTCCTCCAACCCTATGCTCACCACTGGTTTAAAGGTTTACCTACAAATTCCAGGTTATACAGCAAAGTATTCAAGGAACAATACGGGGATGCATCAGAAGAGGAAATGATAACAGCTTTGGACAGCCATGCCAGAAACTACAACGAAGAGATGGGGAGCACCTGCATGGCTGTGAAAGTTTTAAACAAAGCCTATTGTTGCTGTGTGCACTCCATTGATGAAGCGCGTCCACGAGAACCTCAAGCATTCTGGAGAAATTGTCTTCATGGACGCGTCCTCAAACATGGATCGCCACAATTGTAGTGTTTTCGTCCTCTGGGTGCCGCTGGGTGTTTTAATCACAACATCAGAATCAGAGGAGACAATTGCCGAAGCACTATCACTGTACAAAACCGTACTACCTCAGAGGTAGGTATTCATGTGGGCATAATGTTTGAATTTTGTGAAATACTGTTTATAGCAGTTTATACAGTACTACTGAAATGGAATATTTACATTAAACTAAATTGAGTGCCATGTTGAATCTTCATGTAGGTGTTTTGGTGGACGAGGTATAAAGGGATCAACAGTTTTTATGACTGATGACTCATCCGCAGAGCAAAATGCAATAAAAAAAGAATTTCCGGAAGCAACAACACTCTTATGCATTTTCCATATTCTACAAGCTACGTGGAGATGGCTATGGAATGGAAAAAATGCTCTTTGCAAAGAAAGACGTGCTGAGCACCTCATCAGACTAAAGACAATCATGTATGCAGATTGCAAAGATGAAATGATGAATCTGTACAAAAGTACACTCGTATCTCAGAGTAAGTTGCACAGTAAGACCTAATAAAAAAATGATTAGTTTATCACCCTCATGCGCATGTATTCTATGGCATTAAAAGAAAAAATTTGAATCTTTTTTTTCATTTTTTTTTAGTAAATAGTTAGTAGATATTGTTTGTATCATCTCAGTCATGTACTGTATTTTACTTTGAATATCAATGTGCCAGCAAACAATTCAATAGTGAATGATATTTGGCTTTAGCAAAATAAAAAATAAAAGCATCCATCCTCATCACTTTTCCAGCCTAGATAGGGTGATATTAAATCTAATATTTTTTTTTTTTATAAAGGCCTAATGTTCCTGTCATATACACACACGCCCAGTATTAAAATGTTAAATTACTTCATGGTAAAAAAAGAAAAAAAAAAGGTAGGGAAGCACTAATTGATTTTTATATCATTGGTTTTTTTTTTTTTTTTTTTTTTTTTTTTCTGTGACGCTACAGCAGAAAATTCAAGAAATACTTGACTGGATATATGAATAGAAAGGAAATGTGGGCATTGTGCATGAGGGATAATCTCATGACCAGAGGTAATAATACCAACAATTTTGTTGAGGCAGCAATGCGGGTCCTGAAGGACAAGATTCTTCAGCACACAAAAGCCTTCAGTGTGCCACAGTTAGCAGACTTTTTAACACATATGCTCAGTGAACACGACTAACTGATGTGGCAAATGGCAGATTTTATTATGTGCTGACTTCAAGGTTTATGCCAACAGACAAGAATATTACAAAACACAACATCACTCAGGTAAAATACACAAAAAAAAGATTATGCTTTTGTTAGTAAACAAAAACACTATACATTGTACAAAGAAAAAATAGTAAATACAATACTGCTCCAAAATAATTTACAATTACTTACAATAATAATATTAATAATAATACTGTAATAATAATATGTATGTGTAATATGTATTAATTTGTCTAACCGCTTTCTGAATTTTGTATTTACATAAATCAGATTTCTCCAGTGGACTTTGAAGTTAGAAGTGGTCTTAATGTGTACAACATTAATGTGGAAGTCGGGCACTGTACCTGCCCAGTAGGCAAAATCAGTGGACCCTGCAAGCATCAAGGGGCTATTGTAAAGCATTACCAATGTGCTACATCCAGAGATGAGGCTATGCTTACATAAGATTGCAACAGGTAGATATATATAATACTAATTCAAAATGCTGCACAATTTTAACAATATTGTTATCATTGTTATTTTGATTATATTACTTGCCCAATACACTAATAAGAAGACTTAGTAATAAGTGGTTTGACTTTAGAATTAAATTTTTTGATTTCAGAAATTAATGTTTTATTTAACATACTTTTAAAAGGAAAGGAAGGAGCACCACTACCTGGCTTTTTTGATGGCCTAACAGTGGCCAACACTGAATTTCCTATTGATAACCAACAACGTGATGACAATCCCCAAGACATGCTATATGATGACACCCAGTCCTGTCTCATGAAGACCCACAAGATGTGATTCTTGATGACCCTCAAGGTGTGTGGCATGAAAACCTGCAGAATGTGTCTCATGTTGACCCTTATGATCAAACTTCATCTGAACTAGGTAATAATTTAGTGTTATTATTGATTTACATTACTTTCAGAATTTTAATGTCCACTTTAAATCATGTAACAATATCATTCTAATTTATGTTATTGTTAACTTAGATACTAAACACTCATTTTTGAATTGATGTTGTTTCAGCATGTTGTTATCGATTCTGATGTTATACAGTTGACTATCATATATGCCTATCTAATTTGTTTTTAAGGAAACATTAGCAATGAAATTTACTAATGTAGATGCTATTTAAATTATATAAATGTTCAATCCTTGTTCCTTTGTTTTATATTTTACATTTGATTTGATCAACACAACACACATTTAATTATGTAACACTGGATGTCATGGCTGTATAAGTTGGTGAGTAAAATAATTATTGAAAACTTAAAGATATACTGCCTCATAAATCTAATAATACTATCAATAAAACCAAAATTCAATTGCTTAGTTTGTATATTTCACTGTAAGTTATAAACTCTCAAAACATTTTTTTTTTCTGTGGGTGCTTAAAATTTGTATCTTCCAATCAATTTAAATGTGTTTATTTGAAAACTTACTATCAATTTGTCTGTCTTATTGTTATTTCTGAAGGTTTTCTTTCTATATTTTTTATTGGCAGTATGTCTTTAATGGCATTATTGAGTTCAGCGTTATTTAACATTTAAACAGACACTCTGCGCTCCTTTTATGACACAATGATCCTAATGCTGCAGACTGACCTGGATGTAATGCAATTATTAAGTTTGAAGAAAACTTGAAACATATAAAGACCATCACACATATGTGTTCTGCCTTGAGAACATTTGGAAAATATCAAGGTGTGACTGAATCACTGATGACAAGAGGTATAATATTCTTATAAAAATGTACAGTAGATATATTTTTATTCGTTATTTCAGTTTCAGTCTTATGTTCTAAAGAAATTTGTAATTTTCAATAGGCAATGACAGACTCAGAGGGAGTGGGAAAACCATTGGCGTACAGCCAACTGCCACAGCAAGGCGGGCACATATGGGGCGAGGAGCCAGACGAATGACGTCAGGGAGGCCAGCAAAGTCGCCTTTCGTCAAAGAACATGGCTATTCAATTGACAAGAAGAAAAGAAGGACAGCAGCTCCACACAGCCTTAGTCATGCTGTGGAATACAATCAGTCATTGGGAAAATCACATGGTGCTAAATAAAATGCTGAATGCTGAATAGCTTTTTGTGATGAATATTTAAGCTAATTTAAAGATGTACTACCAGTCAGTATCATGAGGTAAAAAGAAATAAACATTTTAATTCCATATTTGGATTGCTTAAATAACTTTTCTGTATTCTTCTGCATAAATCCTTAAGTTGGTCAGTATTCAATTTAAAGATTTTTGTAGTAAAATGTCTGTAAATCAATGAATCTACTTTCAAATGAGCTATTCAAAATTGTATTTGAATTTTTTAGGTATTTCTTGTCTTTCTGACTGATAGTACATCTTTAAATGATAGGCCTTTAGGTCAATTCTACACATCATTGTTTAGTTTTGTTTTATTATTTAGCACCATTAAAGAAAAATGCTATAGTGCTCCTAATAAAATTGAGGGTTTGTACCATGTAAATTTTCATAAAAAAGTGAAATTAGAATTACCATTATTATATTTATTTTCACCTAGATAGCATAAATGTTTCTAAATGTGCTTCATAAATACACACACCGGTACTATATGAAGTTGAAGTACTGTAAAGTTACTTTAAGCCAGCAATTCAATTTCAGTTCAACAATTATCCATAATTTAGTTCATGCTGTTGGCACTTAATCAACCACAGATAAATCTCATTTGATTTTAAAATATTGAATAATACAGAACATATTTTATGATGAACCAAACCTGATATACATAATTAACAATCAATTTTAAGTGCATTTCCAGTTAAAACTGACCCTGTCAACATAGGTCAATGGTATTCATAAAAGCACCTACCACTGCAAACACTGATGTTACTTAACATCAGTGCTCATACCTGAAAAAGGACGGTTTCATTATAGACCCGTTTAAGGCGAGACTTTTTTATACCTTGTTTAGTGAACCCGTCGACTGCAAATACTGATGATTTTTAATAAAAATAAAATTTTTGACCAGTTAGCGCACCCACTGCCACAAAAATGTGGAAATTTCAGAAAAAAAAAACAAGTTTTTAAAAATTGTTATTATGCCCTCCGCTGCCTTGAAATATCCAAAGATAAGACATGTATATTTCTTAATAATTATAAAATTTGAAGCATTTTACATTCACCAATAAAATTTTTATTTTTATTTCCTCCTCCGTATGGCTGTTTTTGGCAAAACTATTTGCTAAATAAGAAAGCAAACTTTTCTTTTTATTCCTATTCTGCCCTCCTCCGATGATCTTTAAAAAAAATAGGTATGCAAAACAAGGAATAAAAAAAGTCTCGCCTTACTATCAAATGTGTACGTTTTAATGTTTATGAAGTTGCGTGCAAATTTACTACAAAAACTCAACCAATGTCTATTACTGTACCCTGTGTGGCATACCAACGGCAGGAAAATTTCACTGCAGATGTTGGGGATTGTTGAAGTTCGGAGAATGAGATCGTAAACACATTGTTGCAATGAACTATGACCATAAATACAGCAGGTGTTTAGCATCAAATCACTTTATTATGCTGTCTTACAATGCAGTTATAGCATAGTGTTCTACTGTATAAAATGGTATAGTACAGTATAGCATAGCATATATATTCAACAACTGTGTATATTCTTCCTGGAAAAGAAAGAAAATAAAGTTGTCTTATGTAAGCACATAGAATCTACATGTCTTATCATTCCAGTTATTTAACAGTTTTAAACAAAGATAAACATTAAACTCGATAACAAACTCTTAAACAGCGCCCTCTATAGTACAGACTTACTCTGCTGAGATTATTCTGACAAGCTCTAATTTATGAGTAGCGCCCTCTATAATATAACTTTCTTGAACGACATCGTTAATCTCGAGTATTATAGTATTACTATTATGATGAAATTATGAATAAACCTCAAATAACAATTATAATAACAGTAATTATTAAAATATATAAATCATTTGCACAAACTGTAACTAAGCAGTAAGCTGCTATTGTGAAGCACAGCGCCTGGAAAACCAAGCGTAGGCCTGGCATTCCCGTGTGTGCCTGTAACACTGTATACAAGAGCTCAGCCTAGATGGAAGCATTGCAAATGTCGACCACGAAGTCGCCGCTAGCCTAGCCTATAAATATTATTAAATTACACTGAACTAAAGGGTGATATGGTATGGAAATCGCAACTGCCGACTCCATATATAATATAATTACTTGAGAACATGTTAAACATACCTCGATAAATGATATAGTATATAATAATACATGAAAATCCAGTGGTAAAAAATAGTATGGACTGTCACAACGATCTCATGTTGTTGTCTCCCACCGATAACCAGTTCGCGCGTGGCGGCATAGTAAATTATTACGCGCAGGCGTAACAACATGTCATGACATCCCATTCCCCCAAAGAGTGACGGAATGTCACACAAATAACATCAAACTGCAAAAAAGGTTTAAAAATTTTCATACAAAATGTCTCAATTTGGTTTACAATAGTATAATTGGTAATCAAAGTGCCACACTAATCACAACGAAGTGCAAACTGATGATTTCAGTAAGTCCAAATATGAATCACGTAATCCAAATGAGTGTGAATACATATCTCAAAGTCCAACAAACAACGATAATTATGTACTGTAATCATTACACAGTAATGCACATATTGATTTTTGGGCAGCGTTCGGCGTACACCCATACACAGTACAGGCATACTCAGACTCTATATGTCTGATCGTTCTGTGCTTTTCATTAGTAGGATCAGTTTGGTGACAGGTTTCTTCGCATTGGTTCCATCAGCAAAGTTGATGTCCACAACTCTCACAAGATCATCCTTCCCTGGGTAGACTTTAATGACTTCAGCCATTTTCCAAAGGCTGCGTTTCTTCTCCTCACCAATGACGAGCACTATGTCTCCTTCAATCAGATTCTCAGTGGTGAAAGTTTATGCATACATTCCATCCAGCGTCGCCAAAACCCATCTACCATAGCATTGCAAATCTCTCTACGTTTTCGTAAGTTTCCTTTGTACTCTTCACATGGTACTTCAGGACATGGCAAATCGCCTCTTCTAATCAAGAAGTGGTTTGGTGTCAACGGTGGATGATCAAGTGGCGATGATGACTGAAGTTAAGGGTCATCCATTGATAAAACCGGATATTTGACAGAACACAGTCTCCCATTCAACAAATGTAAGGCGATCTGCTTTCAATAGGTGTCTCATTCCCTTTTTGACTTCTTGGACCATGCGCTCAACAGCTCCTTGGTGGTGGGGTCCACCGGGCGGTCCAAATTTCCACTGAACGTTATACCGTTGGCATTGTTCTCGGACTGTGGTCTGGTCTAATTTTAGGTTTAACTCATTTATGGTGTTGTTAGCTCCTCTAAAGCAGGTGCCATTGTCGCTCACTAACAAAGATGGAGCTCCTCTGATGCTTACCAATCGTTCCAAAGCTTGTAGAAATGCTTGGGTTGACAGATCTTGAACACATGTTAAGTGCACAGCCCTAATTACTGCACAAGTAAATACCGCACAGTAACATTTGGTGGTGGTGTTCCTGTTCAGCTTTACATTCACCGGACCAAGGTAATCTACAAGTGTGGTTTTGAATGGAGGTGAACATGGGTTCACTCGGAAATCGGGCAAGTCTGCCATCCTTTGCTCTATTGGTTTTCCTTTGTGTCTCCTACAAATGATACACTGACGCACAACTACCTTAGAGATATTTGTGTCTCCAACAATCCAGTACCTTTTCCTAACTTTTGTCGCAGTTCTGAGATGTCCCCCATGAAGGGCATGTGTGTGTCTGTCACGAACAATTATCAGGCTAAAATGACTTTCCTTTGGGAGAAGGTAAGGGTGTCGCACATCATATGAAAGTGGTGCATTGTCCATTCGTCCACCAACACGGTACACTCTCTCGTTCTCATCAAATATTGGATCTAACTTCATAATGTTGTGGTAGTTGAAATTGATACCTGTTTGTGCTTGTCGAATCCAATACAACTCTGCTTCCCTGAGTAGCTTAGAAGAAGGCCACTGTGATATTTGCTGGGTTAACCGCTTTAACCATAGGTTCTTTGGCAGTTCCTTCAACGAGAGCACCCTAGCTGTGATCATCTTAAGCCTTGGCCAAACCTTGTACCAACTTCATCTAGTACTTGCCAAGCTCTGGCAACATTGACACATCCTTTAATCATATTTCTCTCTTTGACATTGAGCATGGATTCAGTCAGCTGGTAGAAGCATTCTATTTCTGTTAAGTTAGCTGCACAATGGGTAAATAATCCTTTGAATCTTCTGTAATCCCGGACCATTAAATGTAGGAAATTTCATTCTTGCCATCTTAGGTACTGTTTTTGACACGACAGGTTGAGATGCTAGAGTCGCCATTGTGCTAGGACTGGATGCGGTTGACACAGTCTCCGCTCCCTCAGGTTCTGTGGAGACTGGTTGAGGAGTTGCAGGAGTTGTCATCGTGCTAGGACTGGATGCGTTTGACACAGTCTCCGTTCCCTCAGGTTCTGTGGAGACTGGTTGAGGAGTTGCAGGAGTTGAGAGCAAAAATGACTCATTAGAAAGAGACTGTGAACGGTGTTTAATTTCTCGTTTTGCATGCATTAGCCTTTGGATGAAATCCATCTCACAATCTGCCATCCATTTCTCCTCAGTCTCAAACTCCTCTTGGTCCACTATGATCCATTAACTCGGAGTGCTTCGATTCAGCTTTTCCGAACTGTTGTTCCGCCTTGATGATATATGGTTTTAAGACATCTAGATCGACGTCCTCTTCTTTCAGCAGCTTTTCAATCATGGACAAAGTTCTTGTCAATTGCCCTTTGTGGTTCCGTCTGCCAAGCTTCAATTTGTTGATGTCAGTCATTGCAAGCTATTGGTGAAATTCACAAAGTTGTTGAAACTGTTGGGGATTGTTGAAGTTTGGAGAATGAGATCGTAAACACGTTGTTGCAATGAACTATAACCATAAATACCGCAGGTGTTTAGCATCAAATCACTTTATTATGCTGTCTTACAATGCAGTTATAGCATAGTGTTCTACTGTATAAAATGGTATAGTACAGTATAGCATAGCATATATATTCAACAACTGTGTATATTCTTCCTGGAAAAGAAAGAAAATAAAGTTGTCTTATGTAAGCACATAGAATCTACATGTCTTATCATTCCAGTTATTTTGAAGTTTTAAACAAAGATAAACATTAAACTCGATAACAAACTCTTAAACAGCGCCCTCTATAGTACAGACTTACTCTGCTGAGATTATTCTGACAAGCTCTAATTTATGAGTAGCGCCCTCTATAATATAAATTTCTTGAACGACATCGTTAATCTCGAGTATTACAGTATTACTATTATGATGAAATTATGAATAAACCTCAAATAACAATTATAATATCAGTAATTATTAAAATCTATAAATTATTTGCACAAACTGTAACTAAGCAGTAAGCTGCTATTGTGAAGCACAGCGCCTGGAAAACCAAGCGTAGGCCTGGCGTTTCCGTTTTGTGTAAGTTTTGAATAATAAAGTACCGCACCCTAATTATTTATAGAGAGCAGTAAAACTTGAAAAGTATTGTCGGCCCAGACTAAAATTTAAAAAAAAAATGTTACAGCTCCGCGGCCTTTAATATTATAAATGCCTACTAAAAATAAACCTCCCCTTAAGTCAAAACCCCTCTGAACAATAAAGCAAGGGGAATTTATTTGAATTATGGTACTTGTGTTCTTGCAACTTTATTTTTATTGTATTAAATATAAACGTATTATTTTTTTTTTTTACTTTCGCACACTGCCTTGCCCTTAAATTAGGCCTAGCCTATTTTTATTCATACTTCACGTTGTTTCAATTTTTTTTATAAATTTCCATGCAAGTGATGTGAAGCGTGACTCTGTTGATGTCAGGAACAGCTAGGACTAGGCTTTACTGCTGCTTATGGCCCTAGCTAGTCTAGGCCTAGAGAGGGGCCTTCTATAGGTATGACCTACAGTAGCTCAGCCTTACTTTCGGGGCCTAAGCTACTTAACTTAGGCCTAGTAGAACTAGGCTAGGTGGTAGGCCTAGGTTAGCATATTTTTCTTAATAGTACGGCACGGTCGACCGGTTTCACGCCGCCGTCGTGCTAATTAAACTGAAGATTTGGTAGACCGTCGCTACGGTCGTTGATATACTGGTCGTACTCACGTTTATTTATTCGTTGCACTGTTGTCTAAAATACAGGCTCCATGCGCTGCCACCATGTTATATGTTCTTAACATATAATGGACGTACAATGAACAATGTCCAGGCTTACTCTATCTACTCAATTGGTAACCTTGGCATGCATGGCCATGTTTATTCGGGTAGATGCTAAATACAACGGGTTCAGCCGAGGGGGCGTGGCTTCGTATGTTGACGTCATGGATAACTTTCGCTATGTTTTGTAATAATCTCATCGACAAAGTGTGGGCCCTGTCTGTAATCACACA